GCCCCGCGTCCCGCCCCCGGTGGAAGGCAGAGAGGCGACGTTAAGGTGGACAAATAATTTTTATTCGTGCATGCAAATACATGTCAATACTGCAAACTTCTTCCATCACGTCTCTCAACACACGGAAAACCGGGATGCTCTACTCCGTGACCAGCCAAAGCTACAACCTCTTCACTTCAGTGCTACAGCAAACACACACGGCACCGCCCCGCCGCCGGGGCCCCCCTACCTCTAACACGAAGGGAAACATTACCAGTGGGAATCAAAACCGAAATAAACGGAATAGAATTTACTCCCCCATATATCCCCATTTCATTTTACAGATTATTTTTTTTTTTTAAATTATAGTTTTAAATAGAAGCTGAGAATGCGCCATAAAAATGAGCATTAAATCCATCGTAGCGATGGTGCCTGCTTTATACATGATGGGTGTACACCATCTTTTATTTCATTTACATTTCAATCGAACAATAGATTTGCAAAGAAAATGTCTAATACAGACGTAAAAATATTCACACTAGAGCTTCACAATCGGTTGTACAATTGACAAACAGGCCTCTTTTCCCAAACTTTCCAGCTAAGCAAATTTATAAAATGTAATCAATGCAACAAGAAAAAAAAATTTTCTTTAAAACTTCCAGGGAAAAGAATACGCAGTAAACAGTATAAATGCGGACAGCAGATGCTGCAAGCTAACCACAATACTTCGGAGTGGCTGTACAGTGGGTATGTGCAGTACAAATAAAAGCCACATGTGTTGTATCACAACTACCGTATAATGTACTTGTTTGCCCAGCTAAGAAAATGCATGCATTTCCATGCCTTGGATTAACTGAGATCTACTCTGGATAAATCGATGGGCTATGTGCAAACGACCTTGGCTTTTGGCAGTAATAAATGCAGCCAGGCTCTGTTTTATTTCGGCTTTTACAGCAAAATCTTGAGTGATTAAAAGCTTCCACAAGCATCCTTCTTAAATAACGGGGTGCAGTATTATGTTGGGGCATTGGTCATTTTGATTATTAAGATTTGTTTCACCTCATCACTGACAGTTGTGGTTCGTCTTCTGTTTGTTTGTTGTTTTTTTTTTTTTTCCCCTTGTCGTGCTCCCTTGCCAGCAAAGAGATGCACGGTGATGACTACCGCCAAAGTCAGCTGTTCATTTACCCTGGAAAATTGGGTCATTTAAAAAAAAAAAACAAACCACATTTATTGTGTTCTGCTTGCAGAAGAGGTCCCTCAATGAGAGGGAATTTCCTAACAAAGGGATTAAACTACAACATAAAGAATGGACTTTTACATACTATAGATAATCCGATCATTTCTCATTTTGTTACACTCAAATTCAACATCTTCCTTTAATAACAGTCTAATAGTGAAAAGTCTGTTCACAAATATGATCAAGGAGCTGCTGGCATACACTGTTTATGTACAGCAACAGGTACAACTTGACAACTTGTGCTTTAAAAAAGCAAACGAAAACAATGTTTGGAACTATTCTGAGTTTAGATCAAGTTATTTTAAGCATTCTTTCCTCAGCTGTTTCTGACCACTGTGCATTATTTTGTACCTCATCCAGCCTAGTACACTATTATACAAGAACAGCATTCAGCTCTTGAGTACAGGATAAATTAAAATTTCAATTGTGTTATCAAAGCACTAAAACCTTCCAAATTAGACTTCTACAAAGAGCAATTAAGAGCTTATTTAACATAATCTGCTGCGTACAACTTTTTTATTTTCCTAAATCAAACGTCAAACTTCAGTGTCCCTGTACTAGACTACCAAGAACCAACGCCAGTTTGCTTTGCAAAGAGTCTAACCTTTCCTTTGAAGGGTCTAGTATACATTCTACAATGCAAAATCTGCATAAACACTAAGATTCATTTCTTGTCACCTGTTTACAGGAACAAAATATCAGTAGCAGGGCAATCACTCTGCTATAAGTATATGTTAAGAATGTACAGATAATTACTTTCTCACACAAGCATTCTCCCAGCACAAGCATTAGTCTCTATTAAGACCTATGTGGGAAATGAGGCAAACCAAGGAATGAATCCAGGTAGTGAGGCAACACGATTAACTTAGATACTAATAATTCCTGTATCTCTTGCATGTGAAATCCCTGCTGTACCCCTAGTGGGGAAAAAAAAAATAAAATACCCAAACCAAAACAACCCAAAATGCTTGTCCAAGCAAAGCAAAAGAGCCAATCTCTTTCCCCAATCTGCAATGGGCCTTTTTTTCTGACAGCACAGGTAAGTTCAGCCAAAACCTAAGTGGGAATCACTGCTACGAACACACAAAGATAAGTCACTATATCTCAGTGTCAGAAAATAAGCCCTTACATAGCCCAAAGGCACCTGATTCACAACCAGACAAATGAATACATACTTGTTTGTATAGGGTCAAGGGCTGAAACTTCACCAAAGAAGAAAGCCAGAACTACGTTGCCACCTGCAGCTTCTCCTTGTCAGGGCACTGGAGGGCACAGTTTCATGGCAAAAACCACACAGTCAGTGTTAAAACCGTAGGACAAAGCTGGCATGCTGTTAAAACCCCCAGAGAATTCTTTCGCCTGTCATTCTAGATACTAAAAAAATTCAATTAAAAAAAAAACCCCAAACTAGCCTCAGTTAAGAACCAACTTTCCATATGAAGTGTATGGTCATCCTAGAGAACTGCTATATCATGGGACCTCCTGCTGCAGACAAGAGCATATAGATACATTTGTTCTTAAGTCGCCAATATGGTTGGCAGGAATATGTTAGGCTTATGTAATCTCACTGGACAAACAGGCAAATGTGTGTAAGCAGCTTATCCCAATCCCCCTCCAGCAGAGCACAACCAAGTTCTTAAAATTGCAATTTTAAAATTAAAAAGTTAAGGTAAATACACAATCAATTTATGTAGTATATATTCACCCTCAGATCATGCTGAAGATGTTCT